GCAAATGGAACAAACCAGGCTTAACACTTGGGGTTTTTTTAGCTTCTAAATTGAAGTTGAGGTGAAGGGACAAATTTCCATTTGAAGGTTAAGTTAAAGAAACTTTACATCATGTAAAATACCCACAAACTCATACTGGTCTGACAGAAGTCTGTGAAAGCATCCGTGATGGTAAGAAGGCATTTCACAGGTCACCCCTCTAGAAGACAGCTTTTTGTCTTATATAGGGACCTTCCATTCAGAAATGCATGTAGCACCTGAGAGCTCTTCATTAAAAGTGATGCACATTTTAGTTGCCTACACAAAAGAAAACCATCCTCTCACCCTGCTTCAATTCCATCTGTTTTCAGGTTTACTCCCTACTGTGAGCCTCATTTAGATGTCATTTCTAGAATGCAGTCATATACAGTAGAAAACCCTGCAGCACGCAGAACCAGCCCAAGCAGACAAATTCACTGTGTCAAATCCTACTCTTATGTACTTTATGTACTATCAATGCAAAGCTAACTGAGCAAGTACACTCAAATCACAAGTATTAGCAATAACTTTAGAACAACCCAGAGCTTCTTAATAACTTGTCTTGAAGGTACACATTGATTTTGCAAAATAATTTCCATATAAATTTGACCAATTAGCAAAAGACTCCCTGATTAGCCACAACACAAAAATACTGCATTTGCTTTTTACTGAAGAAAAATACTCTACATCGTAGTTTGTATCCCTTTATTATTATTATACTTATTATTAGATGCAAATAGGCACCTTATCCTGAAACCTTTACTCTTTCCTCTAATTTATCAAAATGCAGTCTCTCCCTACTGCCTTTAGACATTTATTGTAAAACACTGCCAAATTCTTGAGCTATAGTACTGTTCTTCATGTGAGTGCATATGTAAAGAGCTGCCCTACTGTAAATGCTACCAGGGAACGACTGTTCTTGAGAAGGCAGAACCACGTTACATAGACCTAATAGCCAATTCATTTAACAAGCTACCTACACATAGTAAATACCAGTCTTCCATTTGCTCCTCAGTGCCAGCACAAGAACAGCACGTCTCGAACCCATCAGCGAACGTATTTCCCTGCGTGGGTACATGTGCCTTTCGGAGATGGTGGCTTGTGGCACATGGCTGAATCAGAAATTACGAAGGCTGCCTTTAAAAAAAATCACACCCTTCAAGGCCCCGACCAAAGAGCCTGCTAACAGAGGCAGGGGAGAGTTTACGGCTCATCAGCTCCACCAGCCGCATAGAAGGCCATGTCCCTACACACTGATCTGTTTATTCTGGGACGCGGCGCCATTCGACCCAGAAGGGCCGGCAGAAGGCCGCGAGCGGCGGGGCCGGGCACGGCGGAGGAGGTCGGGCCTGCTCGGCCGGCCGGCTGCCAGAGGGGGGCCACCCCCCAACAGGTCGCTGAGCGCCCCCCACCCTCTCCACAGGCGGCCCCGAGTCCACCCCCTCCGCCCGCCGCCTTCCCGGGGCTCCTCTGGGGGCTCCTCCAGCCAGACCCGCAACGCGACCGGAGCGGGAGCAGCCACAACTCACCTCAGCCAGAGCGCGGGCGGCTCTGAGAAACCCCGCCCCGGCCCCCCCTGCGCTGTGCCCGCGCTCCCGCCGCGGCGCCTCCCCACTTCTCGCCCGCCCTCTTGTTGCATTTCCAGCACGCTCCGCTTTTCTCACGGTCACCCAGGTAGCAGCTTCAGAGAGCGTTCTGGTGCTCACCACTGTGATAGCGTCACCCTCCTACGGCATCGCGACCCGAGCTGCTGCTGCTGCTGCTGCTGCTTTCTCGGGCAGCCCCGCATGGACAGCGCAGGACCGAGCCACTGCTCTTCTCCGGGCTCTATCCGAAACGTCCAGCCGAAATACTACTGGTTCCTGAGGCTCACGGTACACGGGAAATGCCCAAGGACGATGTTGCCTCTGGTTTTAAGAAGTTTCAGTATTTTGAAGGACAGAGCTGCTAGCGGGAGCCCTTTAGCTGCAGAGAGCCCTGTTGTGTAAAAACCCTTGCTCACAGGTGCTGGCAAACGCGCTCTGGCTCCCTGGTGCTGGGCTGACGAGAGCTCCGGCAGAGCAGCTCAAGTCCACGTCACGCACAGGAGAGCAGGTCACAGGGAAAGACTTCACTAGGGGCTCTCCTGGAACGGGTGCGGGCTTCAGCTCCTGGCACAGGACGGTTTGTGTGCTGCCCACACAGGGCTCCGCTGGCAACTCTCGACAGGTTGGTCCTTGCTCTGTGTGCCAGGGGCGCACACACCGGCGGCGCGTTCGCTTGTCATTTTCAATGCATTCTGGACAACTTCCACGGCCTCTCTTCCCCGGCCCTGCGCGCACCGCCCGTTGCGCTCCGGGCCAGGGCCGGCGCCAGCGCCGGGGATTGGCCGCGGGGAGCCGCAGGGGGCGGGGCTGTGCTTGGACCCTGCGGCGTTTCACTCGCGGCGGCACTTCCGCGCCCCGGGCAGGTCCGCGAGGGGAGCGGGACTTGCTGTCAGACCGCGGTGCTCAGAGACCGCGACTTCATAGCCATGTGGTTTCAGAGGAAGTTTTGAGAACACAGGAACAGGCCGTACCGGTGTGCCGAAAGGCAAGCCGGCGGGGAAGACAACCAGCTTGGTTAAACAGGGGGATTCTAAAGGAAATCAGGGATAAAAAGAAACTTTACCAACTATGGAAGAAAGGGCTGACTACTTATGAAGAATTCAGGAAGACAGCTAGATCATGCAGAAAGAAAATCAGGGATGCAAAAGCGCAATTTGAAGTTAAATTGGCCACTTCTGTTAAGGATAACAAAAAGTCCTTCTATAAATACATTAATAACAGA